GATTCCACTATAAGCTTTGCAAATTATCAATGATGAGAGAGAATCATTGATGGGCTGCCTCCTGCACGCCCCCTACTGGGGATCGAGCCTGCAACCCAGGCATGTGCCCTTGGCCGGAATCGAACCTGGGACTCCTTAGTCCGCAGACCGACGCTCTATCCATTCAGCCAAACCAGCTAGGGCAGAGTGATGTTCTTACCTAGTGAGGATAGGAGAGCAAAATTCTCCAGCATCACATCGAGGTATAGGCCTCTCTGAGCCTCGTCAAGAAGCTGCCATTCTGTCCCAGAGAAGTACAGGGCGACATCCTCAAAGGTCACACCAACCTGTCAGAATGAATACACTGAGTCAGTAACAGTCTGTCTGAGAACCCACAATCCTACTCTTCCCCACAACCAACCACCTCCAGGCAACCCCCCACGCCGTTCACAGCAGACCTCTGGCCTTGGTGCCAGTGCTGCCTGTTCTCTCAGCTCAGTCCCATAAGTCACTCTGATCACCCTCAGCAACAGGCAGGAGAAGGGGAAGGGATGGCGAGGCAGATAAATGCCATCTACGCTCTGGGCCATGCCAGAAGGGCTCCATCATTAATGCCACGCAAACCCACTGGGATGTCCCAGATCATTCCTGCAGGACACAGCAAAACGTGGGCTCCAAACCACACACCAGGTGCCCAGGACCGTCAGCCCCAACATCCGATCAGCTCCAGGTGGGCAGGTCTCCACTGTATCCCCGCCCAGCCCCGCAGTCTGCTGACCTGCAGACTCTCTATCCTTAGTATGCCCCTTTCCAGCTCTGTGACCATGGGCAAGGAATCAACTCCCTGCCCCTCACTGTCCCCATCACCGCTGCTAAGGTAAAAATCATTCAAACACGTAAAGAACTTCTGTGAGTTTATTGGAGCCAAACTATCTACAATTGCGGGAAAGCAGAATCTCAATGGACTAGGATAATGCTCCGGAGAATGGCAATTTTGCACCTTGTTTTATACATTATCATCCAAGGAGGAGATGTAAGTCAGTTACATGAAATTCACTGGTTATGGACTAGGGAGACAGGAGAAAGCAAAGCTGGGGAAACCGCTGGAATTGGATCTACTAGGTGTACCGGTTAATAATGCGGATTTTGTAATCAAAGAAAACACGATGATGTTAAGAGAAACATCAAAAGTGCTTTATTCAAAGTAATGTCCATCACTAGCTACACATTTCCCCCATCTTTCAGGTAATTTGTGGATATTGTCCCAACAGAACTTTTCTTGTTTTGAGGCAAACCAGTCAGAGACTCAATTTTCCACTTCTTCATACCTTTGGAAGTGCTGCTCAGAAAGTGTGTATGCCATTGATTGGAACAAGTGGTAATCTGAAACAGCAAGGTCTGGTGAATATGGCGGGTGGGTTAATACTTCCCAAGCAAGATCTTCTAATGTGTCTTTAACTGGTTTTGAAGTGTGTGATGGTGCATTGTCATGAAACAAAATTACTTTGCCGTGTCTTCTGGCCCATTCTGGTCGTTTTACGATCAAAGCGTCTTACAATCAATTGACCTGGACGTCCTCTGTCTTTCAAATTGAAGGCATCACTTTTAAAGCGTTTAAACCAGTGTTTACAAGTGTCCTGAGATGGAGCATGTTCACCATAAGCTTCCCGAAGGATACGATAACTTTCAGCAGCACTTCTCTCCAAAATAAAGTAATGAATTAAAACTTCCTGCAAATACTCTTTTTGGCACAAAATCCGACATTTTGAAGCATAAAAATATCCATGATGTTAACACCTTCGGCAAATCTGACATATGAAGTTTGGAAGCTTGTTGTCAATACGACAAAATAGCATACATATCAAATCGCATATATATCAACATATGTGTAAGTCCATCTATTGAAAAAAATCCGCATTATTAACCGGCAACTAGTAAAAAGTAAAATGAGCCTTAGCTGGTTTTGCTCAGTGGATAGAGCATTGGCCTGTGCACTGAAGGGTCCTGGATTCGATTCCAGCCTAGGGCATGTTCCCTGGGTTGCGAGCTCAATCCCTAGTGGTGGCATTGCAGAGGCAGGCAATCAATGATTCTCCCTCATCATTGATGTTTTTATCTCTCTCTTCCTTTCTCTCTGAAATCAATAAAAATATATTTAAAAAAAGTAAAAGACACTTAATTCTTTTACTTAGGTGGGTGCAGGATAATTAACAGTCAATAACCTATAATAATAAAAGTGTAATATGCTAATTAACCAGAGAGCCAAACTACCTTCTGGATGTCATTCCAGACGTCCTTTAGACTAAACTATGGCAGTAGGGCCGAGGCAGAGGCAGTTAGGGGCAATCTGTCAGGCAGGCAAGTGTTTAGGGGTGATCAGGCAGGCAGGCAGATGGTTAGGGGTGATCAGGAAGGCAGGCAGGCCAGCAGTTAGGAGCCAGTGGTCATGGACTGTGAGAGGGATGTCCGAGGGGTCCCGGATTGCGAGAGTGTGCAGGCGGGGCTGAGGGAACCCCCCCTCCCATGCACAAATTTTCATGCACAAATTTTATACACTGGGCCTCTAGTAAACATTAAAACAATAACAATGAAGGAATTTATGGCTTCAGTCCTGGAGCCCAAGTGCACTTGGCTATGCCCTGAGGGGACTGGAAGGTTAAGTTACAAGTTACCCTGACAGTTCACAGGCAGGTTATCTTAGATGCAAATAGGCAATAGGCTCACTTAAGGTAAAGAGTGACCTTGGTTAGGGAAGAGACTGGCCTAGGGCATGACTACCTACTATAAGCTGCTTTTAGTTAAAGTTTTATTTTGTGTGTGTGTTTTTTCAGTCTCTGGCTCACCACTTTCAATCTCAGGGTTCTCCCCTGCAAGTTTTCCGTTGATTATTCCGGAATTTATTCTGTATTTTAGTTGTAATTCCAGTATGTTCCTGGGGGCATGTCCATGTAGCATCCCCTAACTCTGCTGCCATTTTTAATCCTCCTTTAAAGTTTTAATTTCAGACCATCCTTTGTGGTTCCTTTATGACTTACAGTTTGCTAAGCGGCCACGAAGAAGCATATATGACAATTGGGGGGGGATAGCCATCGGAATCTGTGCCAGCAACCAGCACTAGGCGGCCATGAGGAAGCATGTAAGATAATTGGGGGGCTAGCCATCGGAATCTGTGCCAGCAACCAGCACTCTGATGCACATTCTTGCTATAATTAAGGCCCAATCTTATGTGTGAAGCTTGTCCAGCTTTACAGAACCCGTTCCCCGAAATACGCCCATTTTACATAGGCCACAAACCATGAACCAT